GCCCCGGCGAGCGGTGGTGTCTTTAGGAGGTGGATGGACCTGGGAATGCTTTAAAAAAATCCCGTTGCGGAGGCATTTAGAGCGATACAGTCCGGACGGGTTACTCGAGACCCACGTGGGCTGTGTCTCTCCCGGCACCATTGATAAAGGGCTGGCTTCAGCGGCTTCATTTCAATGCCACGGATGTTCCTTCCTCACAATCTCTGGCAAGGAAAGCGCTGCCGCCTGTGCCAGGAACCGAGGGAGACCGGGCTGTGAGCTGAATTCACAAAATGGGCAAAATTTCCACTGGGCCACAGCAGAGTTAGGATCTGAAATCAGAGCAACTGAGCCTACTGCATTTTTCCTAATGCCCAGGCTCCCTCCCCGCAAGGGCTTTAACCGGGCACCTGCATTCAGCTCCGGGAATTTCCCCTGGAGCGTATCCCACGTTTCCTTTCCTTACTGACGGGCATGACAAATGCCTGCAGAGCTCTGCCCCAGACCCACATGCATTTCGGAGGGAAAGACACGAACGTCTCCCGCAGGTGTGGTGAATCCTGAGCGAGACCGAGCATAGGACTTGGCCGTAGTGCCGGTGCTAACCCCCCGCCGCGGGCCCCGAGATGGGATGTGTCTCGGGATGAAGAGAAACTGCGATAGCAGAGCTGCGAAAGAGAAAGCAGGGGGGGTTAGCAACTTCCCAAGGCTGCCATACCAAACCCTATTTTTCTTTTCCCAGTTAGAGGTTAAGCGTGCCAGTAAAAACATCGCAACAGCCAAGACACATTGCCTCTTAAAGAGGTAAGATAGCACTGATCTTCTGATCATCAGTGCCCTGGGTCCTTGCAAGGCAGAAGTTGCCAAGGAATTCAGTGGGATCCAGGGGCTTTATAAGGCACAGAAAAGCTCTGCCAAGGTGCTGCAAGTCCCCGGTCCCAGCCTGGCACTGCCACCGCTGCCACTGAACCAGACCATGGCTCCGTATCGCCTTTTGCTCTTGTGCTGGGGGGTACCGCAGTCGTGCGCCACGGGAGGTTACTGATGTCTTGGGCTACGACCGCCCAGCTATGGAAAGCAGGTGACAGGATGGGCTCTGCCACCGGAAAACTTATTTATTGCCCGACCTTTTTGCAAATGCATGAGCCCAGCAGCCTTGCTCCAGGCAGAGCCCGTGCTGCAGGGCTGGGTGTAGGGAGGGCACGGGGCAGGGCTTGCCCTCCTGAAAACGGCTCAGCGGCACAAATCGCTCCATCTCCATCAGCGCTGCACTCGTGACTCCATTCCCTCTGCTTTGTTCACACACCTGGGCATCAGGTGCCCGGCAGTGCCACCGGTGCAGGAGGGCAGCCGGCTGCACTTCAGGCAAGTGTTGAGGCCACAGGTGAGTTAAAGGCAGATTCCAGCTCCGGTTCAACCCAGCGACAAAGAGATGAAGCTGGCGGAGGTTGTGAAACGTGTGACCGAGGGACAGGGTGGCTCCTTCAGTCTGTGCTTTGCTGCGCCCTGGGTGTTCAGAGGAAGAACTTGTTCGACCGCTTGTTGTCTGACCGTCCATGCCGGGAGCCCCGGGCTGGTGCAGGCCACCCTTCGCTCCACCTTCTTCAGCTTTTTGGCAGGGGGGGGGAACTTATAAGTGTCACCTTACAAGTGCAAGAGAGGCCAAAGCACCTGGCCAGCCGCGTAGGCAGGAGGAGGACGAGGACCAGCAGACACCTGTCCCAGTCGTCCCGGTGTCGCCGGGGCTGGACCCGGAGCTGAGCCGGCTGCGGGGCGGCACCAAGGCCGGGGAGCGTTGGTTCTGCTCCTCTTTGGAGGAACAGTCTCCTTGGCTCAGCAGGGTAAGAGAAATAATTCTGAACCTGCTCCGTGGCCGGAGCGCAGCAGTGAGGTGCTGGGCCCAGGGATCCCTGGTGACCGACAGCGGCCACTGCTCAGCCAGGGACCCCCCGAGATGGACCTTGCCCCTGCCATGGCCCCACCAGGGCTGCCACTCGTCTCCTGTCCTGCTCTCAGAGCGGGACCGAGCCCAGGTGAGGGGAGGAGGAGGAAACGAGGAGGAACTGCATTAATTCAAATACCTGACCAACCTCCTCGCGTGGACTTTATCCTGCCCCTTCTGCCAAAGGGCGGCAGCTTGGCACCATGGGGTGCTCCGGGGGGTCCAGAGAGCCCTTGCAAGGGTCCCACAGCGGTACCACGTCTCCTCATCAAGCATTTCTGGAGAAGAAATTGAGTTTTTGTTCCCGTGGGAAGCACATGAGTATCTCACCTGCAGGAAATGTCTCTGTGCAGGCTGGTGTGCAGGAGGGAGCCCCAGCTCCGGCACCGGCTCTTCTGCCGCTTGGTGCCAGTCCCACACCGCCGCACCGTCTACCAGCGGTACTTGCTGCTCATCCCCGCTGCCCCGGCCCGCTCCGGCATGGCAGAGGGTACATCCATCCCTGTGCTTGGTGACACGCTGCCGGCCTCCGTTCCTGATAAGGAGCGGGCAGTGCCTGCTTGCCGGCAAGTCAGCCTTACTCAGGAGGAGACCCAGGCACCCTCTGAACCCAGGCTCGAGCTCTCGCTGTTGCAAAGGAGGAAAACGCCACTGCCGCTGGAGCAGTTCACGTGTCTTCACATCCCGGCAGCTCGTCACGGGCACATTTCTGGCAGCAGCTTCTCATCAAGGACAACCCCACAGTGCTGCTGCACTGAGCCCCACGGGCTGCCATCACCGGCTGGGCCACATCCCAGTCCTTTCCTCCGGCTATTTCAGCTATTTACACCTTCTAATGCGCCCATTTCTCTGCCAGTTAGAAAATTATCCACTGCATAAGGAATCCAACCAACCCATGGCGGGTCTGTCTGCTGGCAGCATCTTCACATCACAGAAAGGGAGTCATGGATGAAGGCAAATGCCAGAGACAAGAGCCTTCTCCATAGCTCCGGAATGAGCAGCACCGCAGCCAGACTTACAGAGCCGATAAACCCCTGAATTATTCAAGTCAATACCTTCACGGTGCTGCCACGTCCTCTCCTAATCGTGTAACCCATTTTTTAACAGATATATGCATCGAGAAAAAGAAGCACTCCACCTGCGTAAGAAACCATGGAGAGCACCAGCAGCGCCCCGTCCTCTGTGACCCCGCCGTGGGATGTGTTTCCCCAGAAGACGCTGGACTCCATAGACATTGCTGTTCTTGTGCTGTACTTCCTATTCGTCCTCGCAGTCGGGCTCTGGGTAAGCAGATAGCGTTAAAAACTTTTGTGTGTGCCCTGTTATACTGAAAAATATGGCTGGTTTGGCCTCAAATTATTTTACTTTGGCTCAAATCAGGCTGCACTTCGCTGGATTCAACTGAACAAGCGGACAGACAGAGTTCACAGGTCCTTTTCCTCACTTCAGCCTGGGGAAGTGTCCTCACTGCTCCAGCGGAGAGCTGCTCAGCTCTAGTGTTTGCCAAGGTTTTGAGAACCCTTGTAAGGGAGGGGTCGTCTAAGTACAAAGTATTGCTAATAATAATGTTTTGTTCATCCAGGAAGGAACTGCTGCCCTATAAATCACTTGTGCTTGTCCGCAGTGGTCTCGACAGCAGATTCCGTAAATTAAAGATATTGTTTATATACAGTTAAGGCAGAAGGACATCCTTTTGGCATGGCTTTGTAATAGCAAAAGCACAATCTGGCTGGCATAAGGCAGAGATCAATAGTTGCTCCCTTCAAATGTCGTGCATAACTCTCGTGCTATTGTATGAAACTATCTGAAATCTCTGAGGAACAGGAGTCAATGAGTAATACCGGCAATGCCGAGCATTTCTCCTGGCTGCTCCTAATAACTAGGGATGGTCACAGTTCTCGTCCAAAATTGCTTGCCTTCCTCGCTGAGCTGGAGTGATTTAGTTTGCTTACCACAGAAAACATTTAACCAGGATTCTGAGACGATAGAAAACTTTGTGCGTGGCTGATGCCCTTGGCCAGTCCCCTCCGTCGTCTGCTGCGCTCTCGTCGCCCAGGATTTCCCAGCAGCAACTGCAGGTCCTTCAAGAGACCCTTCGCGTTCATCTGACGACAGCACAGACCCTCCCGCCGGGGCAATGGCTTGGTGATGCTCTGAGCAGCAACTGAAATGATTGCTGAAACCTGTGTTCTGCTTTTTTGCTTTCCCAGTCCATGTGGAAGACGCAGCGCAGCACTGTAAAGGGCTACTTTCTAGCTGGAGGACAGATGGTTTGGTGGCCTGTAAGTATCTTTATCGTTACACTGCTTGTGCCCCTAGGCTACAGCAAGACTGAAAAGCACTTCTGTCCAAGCAGAACTTATTTCTCCAAACAGAAGAAAAAAAAAAATTACTTCCATATTTTCCAAAGACCCAGTTACAATACTGGCTTTTTTTTTTCCATATTTGAGCCTGGGGAAGCGGAGGGGCTGCAGGGCACCTGCCCCAGCCCTGTGCCCCACCAGAGTCAGCCCGACAGCTTGCAAAGCCTCGCTGGTTCGGCATGATCTGGAGATTTCAGAATCGACTGGGTGGTCCCTATCACAGATGCAGCTTTATGTTGAGCCAGTCTGCTAGGTGGGGTCTTTCATTTGGGCTGGGCTGGTGAGTCCGTATGTACCAACACACAAACTGATGACCTGACATTTCTACTTGTTACCTCCATCTTCTGCCCTGCTCCCCCGCAAGAGGCTAGACACTGGTTGGGAAGCAGGATGGTCCTAAACATGCCCACAAATGAGCGGTAGGTAGCTAATGATGGAAGAAGTTGGAGGTGCCAGAGTCACTGAACATGCAGGCAAAAGAAGGTGGCAGAGTGTGACGTGTCCTCTGTAGTCATGAGTGGGGGAACAGCATCACTGTGCTCTCACCAGGCTGAGAACAAAGCCTTGTGCCAGGGCCAGATCCGATTTTCTCTCTTTCTCCAGGTGGGAGCATCTCTGTTTGCCAGCAACGTTGGAAGTGGCCACTTCATCGGCCTGGCTGGGTCGGGAGCTGCCTCGGGAATTGCTGCAACAGCCTACGAGTGGAACGTGAGTGTGGCACGGCGGCTTGGTAGCCATCTCTGTGCTGTGCAGGACAACTCCGACACCACCGAGTCTCCACACAAGGGTAGAGGTCTGGCAGGTCCAAAGGCTCAGATCCTGCTGCGTGAGCTAGAAGTCAGCACCAGCTGCTGGGGGTTTGAGGCCTCTGAGGGACAACCCAGCCCCCGTGTCCCCAGTGATCCACCTGATCGCAGCCTGGACCAGCATCCCTGACCTTCCTTTCTGTTTGCTTTGCAGGGGATGTTTTGTGTTTTGGTGCTGGCCTGGCTATTCCTTCCAATTTACATAGCAGCAGGAGTAAGTAGATGGGATGTTGTGTCCATCGATGATTTGCTGGTATTTAAACCACTTGTTTGGCTCGTGGGCTCAACCATCTCCGGCTGCTCCTGTGCTTCTTCTGGAAGGCAGGGTGTGAGCCACGGTGCTCCCGGCTGTGCCGGTGATGTGGGCTGAAGGGGAGGAGGGCTGCTGCCTGGGAACAGCTCGGAGGGTTGGGGTGGGGGGTCAGACTGCTCCGCTACCCCTGGCGATGGAGTAGAGCTGCTCCATCTCCTGAGGAGATGGACGGAGGTTCTCCTATCACAGTCTACAGTGAGCCTTGTGCCAGACACAACAGCAAAGTCAGTGCTTGCTAAGCTGTTGTGCTGGCCTAAGTAGGCAGCGGAGAACCAAACACCAGCCCAGTGCAACGAGCACCAGCGCAGACGCTCCGCGGGTGAGCCCTCGGCAATCCACGGCAGCGGCTGCGTACCACCTCCTCTGACCGTTTGTCTCTCGCGCAGGTTACCACCATGCCAGAGTACTTGCGGAAACGTTTTGGAGGTAAAAGAATTCAGATGTTCCTGGCGATTCTCTACTTGTTCATCTATATCTTTACCAAAATATCAGTAAGTAGAAAAAAATGGAAACAGACTGAATTCAATTCACTTTGGAAACGTGCTGATTAGCGAGGCTGAGAAATGCAACTACTGGCCCTTCTCTGTATTGGCAGAAAAGGGTGTGTTATCAAAATACCCAAGGAAGATAGACTGTAGTTGTTTTGAGAACCTACACAAAAAGAATAACAACTTCTTTTCTCCATTAAGCACCCGAATGCTTGCTACAGTAGCAGGGAAAGCTAGGTGTCAATGTCCTGAGCAACAGTTCATTGAAAAGTTCAGTTGTGAGCGTCAACGCATTTGTCGTTAGATTTTGTACGTCTGGCAGCTCACCCAGTTTCTTCCCTTTGCATATTTATGGCCTGTGCCGACAACAAATGTTGTTACGTGCAGGATGAATAAGAAGGTAGGAATTGGTATGCGTTTAGGTGAAAAGGGTTTAGTGATTTATTGCACCTCCTGTTTGATGTAGTGCCTTGAATAAATAACTGAATCAACCCTTGCGCAACACCTCACTAGCTGTTTATTAACCGTGCAACAGTGCATGAATCCGTGAAATCAGACAAGTCCCTGCCGGTGTTTTTCCTGTACGTACAGGGACAAAGAGGGACGCGCTGTCCGACACACGCCTGCCCGTGTCCCCTCTGAAATGGATGCTAGTCACGGGGTTCAGGTGGCACCGAGGAGCTAGGCTCCGGTTCTCCTCTAGAAAAAACTAACCATTTGATGGAGTTCTCTGATAACACGATTCCTGTACTCAGGATGCTTTTATAGCTGTCTGTCATTCTGTGCTCTGCAGTTTGCCTATCCTAAGGCTCTCCCAAACCGCGGCATTTTCACGTAGCTGCAGAGCTGGTAGGTCAGGGCTGGGTCCCAGCCCCAGGACAC